CTGGCAGCATCTGTGAAGAAAAAAATCAGAGTTAACGTTTCGGGTCCAGCAACCCTTCCTCAGAACGTTCTGAGGAAGGGTCACCGAACCCGAAATGTTAACTCTGATTTTTCACAGATGCTGCCAGACCTGCTGAGCTTTTCCAGCAACTTCTGTTTCTCTTTCTGATTTACAGCTTCTGCAGTTCTTTCGGTTTTTATTTTTAAGGGATAATGGACAACTGAGAGTGAAATACTAATGAGTGGATTAAAGTATCAGGGAATAGTTTCCTGGTTTGTTTTATGAGTTTTTGCAAAATACAAAATTCTACTCCATGAAATAATTGAAGATAACAACATGCAAACAAACCTACAAGCGTATGAATTTGGAGCGGAAATAGGCCTATTGGCTCTTGAAGTATGCTCCTCCATTCAAATAAGAATATGGCTGAACTAATCGAGCCTTCCCTCCACATTCCTAAATAGCCTTGGTAACTTTTGACTTCTTTGTTGCTCAAGATCTACCTCTGCCTTCAAAAAAGAATAAGCAATGATTCTGCTGTCTGGGCTGAGTGTTCCCCAAGACTCGACCATCTGTGAGAAAAATATCATCTCTGTCTTAAATAGACTTTAAATTTAGATTTAAATCTTAAATGATCATTAAATTTAATCATTTACTTAACATTTGTTTGCTATCAGCTCTGTGTCTGATGTCAAGTTAATACAAATTTTCGTAACCAGAAATACTTGGTAATTCATGTCTGGTGGCGAAACAATTGTCTTTGTGTTTTTCAATGTATCATTGTGTCTGGTTTACTCTTATTTTCAGTCTCAGTTGTGTTGCATGGACAGTTGCTGTAGCTGCACGTTCCTCAACGGTGAACTGGAAAAGGTACTGCCAGAGAACATACTATGCAAATACTATGAACGTCAAGCAGAAGAGGCAGTCGCTACAGCCTGTGCTGATGAGCTAGTACGGTTGGTATCCAATACACAGCCTTCTGCACTACTTGATTAAACAAATGTAGACCGATGTTGAACCAGCATGCAGCTTATTACATATGGCTATGTAGGTCTGATATGGCACAATGGGAGTGTTCATACCTATGGGCTAGAAAGTGGGTTTCAAATCCCACCTGCCACAGAGGGGATACTAAAACATGTTTAAACAGGTTAATTTAAAAGTAATTTATTAGTTACAGTTGAGTTCTTTCCTGGGATTGATGGTTTATAACTAAGTCAGAAGTCATGCAACACCAGGTTTTAGCCCAACATGTTTATCTGAAATCTCAAGCTTTCAGAGCGTAGCCCCTTTGTCAGGTAAGCTGAGAGAGAAGCACACAGACACAGAATTAATGGGCAGAGAGAGATCAATAGATCATGCAAATGGTGTGAATGGAGTGTTGAATAATAAGTCTCTGCAGGTGATCAAAAGTGTCAGACAGTGTGAGTAACGTATCACCAGCGGAATAACAAGTGAAGGGATGGCCTATAATCTGATTAAATGAGGCAAAGAGTTAGTTACAAAAAAATGAGGTGGTGCTGGAGATAAACCAAGTAACTGGAATAACATGATGGGTATAAGAATCGCATGCCGAGGGTCCAACCAAAGTAATAAGTAATTCAAAACTGTACAGACTAAGGCAGAGAAATGATAACAATTTATCAAGGTGATGGTAGCAAAACAGGACAGTAAGGAAGATCTGACAGGTACGGAACAGTGTCGTGGGGTCACGTAGCGTGACATGAACCCAAGATCATGGTTGAGGCTGTCTTCATGGGTACAGAACTTGGCTATCAGTTTCTGCTCGGTGATTGTGTTGTTGTGTATCTTCGGGTAAGTGTCCTTGAAGGACGCTTACCCAAAGATTGGAGGCCAATTGTCTTTGAACCCTGAAGTGTTCCCTGACTGGGAGAGAACCTTCCTGTCTGGCGATTGTTGCACGGTGTCCATTCAGCCATTGCATTAGTGTCTGCATGGTCTCACCCATATACCATGCCTCAGGGCATCCTTGCCTGCACCGTATAAATTATGATCTCTCTACCTTACTTAGTTCGTACAGTTTTGAATTACATATTGCTTTGGTTGGACTTTCGGCATGCAACATTTGTACCTATCATGTTATTCCAGTCATTTGGTTTGTCTCCAGCACCACCTTATTTTTAATTTTTTTGTAATTATCTCTCTGCCTCATTTAATTGGATTATAGGTCATCCCTTTGCTTGTTATACAGCTGTTAATACTTTACTTCGACAGTCTAACACTTTGGATCACCCTGCAGGCACTTATTATTCGACACTCCACTCATACAATTTGTATGATCTATTAATGTCTCTGCCCATAAATTCTGTGTTCTGTGTGCTTCTTTCTCATTTTGCCTGACAAAGGGGCTATGCTCTGAAAGCTTGTGATTTCAAATAAACCTGTTGGAGTGTAGCCTGGGGTCGTGTGACTTCTGACTTTGTACACCACAGTCCTACACCGGCACCTACACAACACAGTATATAACTATGTTGAGCAGTTGTTAGATGTGGAAATGGAGTTTATCTGAACAATCAGAGATGGTAAGAACTGCAGATGCTGGAGCCAGAGATAACACAATGTGGAGCTGGAGGAAGACAGCAGGCCAGGCAGTGTTAGAAGAGCAGGAAAGTTGACATTTCGGGTCGGGACCCTTCCTCAGAAATGAGGAGGGGGAAGGGTGCTCAGAAATAAATAATAGAGGAGGAGTGGGATTGGGGAAGGGATATGGGATAGTGATAGGTGAGTGCAGGTAGGGAATGTTGGGGATTGGTCAGTGAGGTGGGAGGAGCGGATGGTGGGAGAGAAGGTGGGCAGGTTGTGTCAAGTCAAGGGGGCGGGGATCAGAGGTAGAGTTGGTCATGGGTTGGTGGGGGGTGGGGAGATCTTAAAACTGGTAAAATCCACGATTAGGCCATCGGGCTGTAGGCTCCTGAGACGGAATATGAGGTCTGCTCCTCCAGTTTGCGGGTGGTGTCATTGTGACACAGGAGGCGGCCCAGGATGGACATGTCAGATGGACATGTCACCCACGGAGTGGGAGGGGGAGTTAAAATGGTTCATGACCAGAAGATGTTGTCGTTTGTCGCAAACAGCGCACAGATGCTGTACAAAACAGTCTCTGAGCCTCCATTTGGTCTCACCGATGTAGAGGAGGCCACGTCAGGAGCACGGATACAGTAGACCAAGTTGACGGATGTGCGGGTGAACCCCTGTCTAATGTGGAAGGTTTGTTTTGTGCCTTGAGTGGAGATGAGGGGGAAGTTGTAAGAGCAGGTGTGGCCCTTCCTGCGGTTGCAGGGAAAGGTGCCGGGGTGGTGGGGTTAGTGGGGAGTGTGGAGCGGACGAGGGAGTCGCGGAGACAGCGGTCCCTACGAAAGGCAGATAGGGGTGGGGAGGGTAATATATCTTTGGTCATGGGGTCAGTTTGTAGGTGGCAGAAGTGGCGGAGAATCATGCATTGGATACGGAGGTTGGTGGGGTGATACGTGAGGATAAGAGGAATTCTGTCTTTATTTTTGTTGGGAGGAGGGGATGTGAGGGCAGAGGTGCGGGAAATGCAAGAGATGCGGTAGAGGGCCTTTTCGTAGGGATCGCTCCTCGCTCCACACTCCCCACTAACCCCACCACCCCCGGCACCTTTCCCTGCAACCGCAGGAAGTGCTACACCTGCCCCGACACCTCCCCCCTCACCTCCATTCAAGGCACAAAACAAACCTTCCACATTTAGACAGGGGTCCACCCGCACGTCCGTCAACTTAGTCTACCGTATCCGAACTCCCGATGTGGCCTCCTCTACATCGGTGAGACCAAGTGGAGGCTCAGAGACTGTTTTGTAGAGCATCTGCGTGTTGTTCGCGACAAACGACAACATCTTCTGGTTGCGAACCGTTTTAACCCCCTATCCCTCGCCCGGTGACATGTGCATCCTGGGTACTCTTCCAGTGTCACAATGACTTCACTGCAAGCTAGAGGAGCAGCACCTCATATTCCGCCTCGGGAGCCTGCAGCCCAATGGCCTAAAAAAAGCCGATTTTTACCAGTTTCCAAATCTCCTGATCCCTGGCCCCATCCCATGATCAACCCCCTCGTCCCTGCCTGTCCATCATCTCTCCCACGTATCCACCCTTCCCATCCCACTGACCAATCCCTACCTGCACTCACCTATCACCATCCCACCTACCTTCCCCAGCCCCACCCCTCCTCTATTTATTTGTTTCTGAGCTCCCTTCCCCTCCCCATCTCTGAAGAAGGGTCCCGACGCAAAACGTCAACTTTCCTGCTCCTCTGATGCTTCCTGGCCTGCTGTGATCCTCCAGCTCCACACTGTGTTATCTATGAACCCTAACATTGTTCAGGTAATGTCAGGAACAGTGTTGCTGCAATCTCAGGAACTTCAGAACCGACTTATTGCCAATTCTTCAAGTATAGTCAGTATTGTTATGAAGGAAATGCAAAAACCAGTTTGTGCAGAGCAGTGTCCCACAAGCAGCTATGTGATAATGACAAGGTGATCTGTTTTTAATGATGTTGCTTGTGAGTTGAATGTTGGCCAGGGCATCTCGGGTAACTCCCTGATCTTGAAATTTTTTTGCTTCCATCCGCAGTAATACATGGGGTCTCAATTTAATGCTTATCCTAAAGATGTCTTCGGAACTGCAGAGCATAGCCCCTTTGTCAGGTGAAGTGAGAGAGAAGCGCACAGAACATTTAATTCAATAATGGAACGGGATTGCAACCTTATTTTTATATCCTAGTCTCTGGAATACTGGTTATGCCAAAGAATCATCTTTCATATACGCTGACTTAACAATAGTGACTTGACTTAAACATTTGTTTTTAAAGTGTTTTGAAACATGTAGTTGCTGTACAAAGTACATTATTTCAAATTTTCTTGTATAGAAATAAGAAATCTTGGTGCAGCTATGTTTAGATTTGGTGACACAACATGTGGAGTGCTGTAGAAGGTCTCCACCATGGAGGTTCAACAAAAATTCTCTAGATTAATTGCTGGAATGGAGAGCTCCCTCTCCCATGAGAGGAGACTAAATGAAATGGACCTGCATTTTCCAGAGATAGAACAAGAAGAGATGGTCTTATTCAAACTTATAACTCTATCGAGGGTTTGATGCTGAGAAGTTGGTTTTCTGGCTGCGGAGTTCAGGATTGGGGTATGATTATTTAGAACTTAAGAGAAATTCACTCAATGTTGTGGACCTTGGCAATTGTTTACCTCTGAGCTGTGAATGTTTAGTGCATGACTTTACTAACAATTTTGATCAGTAGATTTTTTTGACTCCTGGGGAATGAGGGGATAGGGGATATGGAAAAGTAGAGTTGAAGTAGAAGATCAGCTTTGATCTTAATTGAATGGCAGAGCAGACTTCAGGGATTTGTATTCTTCTAATGATTTCTTAGAGAATGAACTTCTTAGTAATCAAATTTTAATATCCTAACTTTTTTTCTTTTTGCAAAGTTCTAATTTCTACACCTGCCATGATTTGTTGATGCATCAGTGGGCAGGGATACCGTGAATAGGAAATCTAAGCGAAACCCTGCTGTCAATCCCTATTGCAAGGTGCAGTTGTTTCAATGTCTTGCTCCACCTGGTGGCCTGAGTCAGAGCTAACAAAGCTGTCCCACTAAAATGAGCAAAGTTGAGTCGCAAAATGCTGTTGACCTGAACTTGAGTGCTCAGTCACGGGTGACTGGTTTGCATTTATTTAGAATTTGCTAATTTACTGATTCTTTAATACATCAATGTGGAGTTTGCACATTCTCCCCATGTCTCTGGGTTTCCTCCAGATGCTCCGGTTTCCTCCCACAGTCCAAAGGTGTCCAGGCTAGGTGGATTGGCCGTGCTAAATTTCCCATAGTGTTCAGGGATGTGTAGATTAGGTGGGTTATGGGGGATGGGTCTGGGTGGGGTGCTCCGAGGGTTGGTGTTGGCTTGTTGGGCCAGAGTGCCTGTTTCCACACTGTAGGGAATCAATGATTCAGTGGATTCTATGATCAATTTGTTACTGATATTATCAGTTAGTCAGCATCCATCTTATCAGATATGCTTGTCAGTGGCGTGATTAATAATGAAGCTGTCTTGTTATATTGCCACATTCTTTACACTCTTAAATGGTTGGAAGAACCGAATTCTAAATGAAGTAGTGACAAAAAATTTATTATTTGGATCAAACTGAAATATGTGAAATGTATTTGCCTATCTTGATTTCTGTAGTCACTGACCCTTACAGGGTACCATTTCCATGGGTATAGAAATTTTTACATTGTCTTGCTCATATTCCATTAATTAATTAGGGCCTGAATAATAATTCAGTGGCCTATTGAATTATATAGGGCATTGCAGCTAACATAGGTATATTTAAAAGTATAAATACATGAAGGATATAGAAACAGAAGTTTATACTCCTGAGTAGATGAAGAGCAGACCAATCTGGAATACTGGCTTCCTTCAGTTTTTAACATTCTGTGTAATGTTAGCTTGATCTTGCCTCAGCTGATTTCCAGGCATTCCAACAATATCTAATGGGAGTTTTTCAATATTTAAATGTAACCTCTGCTATGCTTGTTCTTAATCAGTCAGGCATGATAGAGCCAGTTTCATTGCCCTAACTGCTGACCTGTTTAAGATCAAAACAACATAAATCATGAATTGAATTTGGGATGGATATGGCTTCATGTTGCTTAAGGCATTTTCTTTGCTCACTAGATAATAATTATCATATATGAAGGGAATTTACTAGCACTGCATGACTGAAATTGCTGTTTTTTCGTTCTTGGCTTGTTTCAGATGTCCATTCTGCAACTTTCCAGCACTACTGGACAAAGATATTAATATGTTCAGCTGCCCCAATCCTCGCTGTCGAAAGGTAAGAATCTGCTTTCTGTACTTTTTTACAAACTGTTCCTGTTGAGAATTTGCCTCCATGGAATTTGGTTGGTTCAGGTGTTTTGAGAATCTGACTTCAGTCATTTATAGCTAGGCACCAAGCAGCTATATAGAGTAAATCTTCAACGAAGGTTCAAGTGCAAAGGTTGCATTAGATGTTGGAAGTCACAAGTATGATGTAACTGAGCTCTAATTGCTTTTATACTTGGGCAAGGATTGTCCTACTGTTGCTGTAGATTTTGATGCCATATCTGGGAGAAATGTGTAAATGCTCGCTTTCTCCTTTTGCTTCTGATATACCGCATCATGAGTATCAGCTTTAATTAAAATAGTTATGGATCAATACTGCGAAACCACCGATTATTATACACTGTGACTATACTGTTTTCCATAATTAGAGCTTTCTTCAAATTAAAGCCAGAAAGAAAAAACATGCTTTTAATGGTAACTTCTTAAATGCATTTTGTGATTTAACTGCAGAGGTTGCCATTTTTCCAAATAAATTATTTATTATAGGCAATTAATCTCCATTAAAGCTCATTAAATGTCATACAAACAAATGTAATGCAATTGAATTTTTTTTTTAGACTGCAGTAGATAGATTTTTGACTAAAAAAGTCTGTCAAAGGATGATGGAATGTACAGTTGAGACCACAATCCAGTCAGCCTTGTTTTTATTGAAAGGTGGAACAGGTTTGAGGAGCCAAATGGCCTGCAGTTTCTAATTGACATGTTTTTATAAGGTGTTGGTAAAACTATCTCTGTAAAAGAGTGAGCAATTCAGAAACTGAAAAAGGGGTGTGGCATCTCATTGCTTTGAAACTGTATTGGAAAGTAACTTAAAACTGTAGTTGGATATTTTGTATGAAAATTAACACCAGCGTCTGTGCTGGTTTATCAAAGTGTTGTTGGGAAGCTAGGGTAGGTCAACGTAGAGGTGAAATAGATTTCCTTGGGCAAATGGTTTGGAATGATGTGCAAAAACCACTGTAGTATTCAAGATGGGAAGTTAGCATCTTTTGGTTTAATTATATAACTGTACAGGTTACCTCCTTGATAGCTTGGTGTGTCTCATTTTATTTCGAAAACATGAATTTGGATAGCATCTGCACACTGACTAAAATCCACCCAGTCTGATACAACCAGAAAGCTGGTTGCCTGAAGCAGAATGGAACTTTAATTGTAGTAATCTTGCAAGTCTGGGAAAATGTTTCTTTCCAATTCATCATTTGTGTTGGATTTATTTCCTGCTTTCACCGAGATAATTGCAATGGTGATACAAATTTTATAGTTGAATTAGGTCGTTAATGGTGCAAGTAATGTTTTTGAGGCTGACAACAGATGCTAACACTTCAGTTGTTTAAAGTTTGACAAAGTGAACATGCCAGGTTTTGGTGAGATCTGTTTGTGCATATTTTTTACTGTTGCTTTGTATTTTTTTTTCCCCAAATCCTCCTCCACGTAGTGAGGCACTTTGTGTCCTACTTGTGAAGTTAACATGGTAAAGGAAATATGGCTGTTGCTCGGCAACACTGATTCTCTTTCCCATCCAGAAAATCCAACAAGTATGTATGAAATATGGAGCTGAACAGATGTGAGGAACAGCTGACATTCTGCAGCATGTAAGAATATTGGATTAAGAGTTGTCAGAAGTGAAAGCTCAGTGCATGAAGTAAATACTGATATGGCTTCCTCATTTGGGTGGAGGCACTCTCTTTGGAACTGGTCTGCAAGACTTACTTTAAACTACGAGTTTAGACCCCTGTGGAAAGCAAGGGTTCTGTTGTCTTTTGTATTTTTGGTTCAAAAATCTCAGCAAAGTGTAATAGGATTTCCACTAGATGGTGCTGTAGGACTGTACAATGAAATGAAGTTCCTGACCTGAGAAATCCATCAAGCTGGATAGAGATGGTAGGATAGAGGGGTTGTGAACAAGATTAATAATACAGAGGAATTTTGTGTTTCTGGAAATTGTTTGCATTCTGCGTAAACGTGCTCCTTCTCACTTTTTATTAGAGATGATACACTTGCACCTTTACAAAATAGATGACCATTTCTGAAGAAATGATCAAGTCTTTAATGTGTAACAGCACTGCTAAATGTAGATGTTACATGGCGATTGTGTAAGAAGTGAGGAGAAGAAGCCAACAAGATTCTGTTTTACATCTGGCTATACTGATGAGTGCAATAAGGGGTCATGCTTTCAATTTTTACTATTTAAACTTTGCTTTTAGCTGTCAGCAGGGATACTGCACGTACCACTCCAAGATATAGTGAACTGTCAGTCTCAACTAGTTGTCCGATCAAATTGTTGGGTGACACTTTAAGGAAAGTTGAAGTTCTACTTTCTGTGGGCAGTATCTGAGGGAGGGAAGTTTCTATTTTAAATAAATGGCTATTGAAGTTATTCGAGATAAAGTTTGGAATGCAAATCCTGTGATTCCATACTATTTAATTATGCCCTTGAGCAAAATAAAAAAAGTCAAGTATCTAAATGGTGAGCAATTGCAAAGCCTTGTGTTGCACAGGGATCTGGGTGTCTCATGCTTAAATCACAAAGTGTTAGTATGTTCATACAGCAAGTGTTCAGGAAAGCTGATAGAATGTTATTTTATTACAAGGAGAATTGAGGTCCATTGCTCAATGTGCTAGAAGCAGAGTCTCTCTGAATATTTTTAAGTCAGGCAGAGGTGGGTAGATTGTTATTAAGCAATGTATTGAAATATTTTGGTGTAGACAGGAGTCAGATCAGCAATGGTAGAATAGGCTCAAGTAACTAAAGGGCTGCTGCTGTTTCTAATCCATGTATTTGTGTATAAATTAGTGTAAAAGAGTATTTTGAATTTGATGTTTCACTATGGCCCTCTCCACTCCGAAGAAATGTCCAGTTGTGAATAGAACAAACTTGGCATTGAATATGGATATACTTTTGTGTTAATGTGATAGAGCTGTGTTTTGATATCTTTTATGTTGAATGAACTGTGAAGAAAGATTTAAAGGCCTCCTATAGATGGTAGAGGTAATCAATCTAATAAGAAAAAAAAGTCACTGATCATTAGTTCTTGGCCTACTTCCAAACATCTAATTTATAAAGCAGTATCCATGGAAACCATTGAAGGGAAGTTATGCTGACCTAGTTAAATGTGCCAAGTACAATTTTAAACTTGGAATCTGTGGAATGAGAGTATGAAGCGGAAATTAATGCAGGCTTTATTTTAATCCAAGAAAAAAAGTTCTTTGCTGTTCTTCAAGGAATGTATTTATAAGGACGTTACAGGGCAATTTCTTTCACCTCAGTTCTCATGGGACATAAGGAAATTCTGGAATTAGCACAGTGTGATCAAAAGTGTTAAACTGAGTTAATACTTTGCAGGCATGCTTATTTGTCGAAATTGCTAAATGAGTGTGGAGTGCTGCTTTTAAAATCTGAGGCATGCCAGTTGTATTATGAGCATATGTTTCTAGTCAGTATTCTGGTTAGGATGTTTGGCATAAATACGTTCGGATTTTGCTTGAATCCACCTATCGTGAACTTAGAGAAATGTCAGCTTTTTTGAAAGCAGTAGAGAAAGTAATGATGAAATTTCGTTGTTTTTTTAATTTGCACCAAGCTTGTAAAAATTAGCCCCCACATGCTACACTATTGGAGCTAAGGATCTGTTTTGTTCTAAAATATAAAACTCTTCCTATTTGGTTTTATAAACTGTATTATTCTGGCTAACACTATCCAAGTTTAAAACTTGTTTCTGTAATTATTTGAAGGAGGTTGTGCAATCTTATTTTAATCTGGATGTACTGGAGTGCACTCTTTCCAAGTCTTCATCTGTGGATAGATCTGGATTAGTTGGCCAAACGCCAAGCTTCTGATACGTTAGTCCAGGCAGTCCGTGAGTTATGAATGGTTTCCATTCTCATGTATGTTCCGAAGTCATAGAATGATAAAATCATACAGTACGGAAACAGACCCTTTAGTCCAACTAGTCCCTGCCGACCAAGTTTCCCAAACTGAACTAGTCTCACTTGCCTGCATTTGGCCCATATCCCTTTAAACTCTTCCTATTCATGTCCTTATTCAAATGTTTTTTAAATGTTGTAACTACCTGCATCTACCACTTCCTGTAAGCCTTTGCTATTCACCTTATCAATGCCCATCATTATTTTATAAACCTCAATTTATAAACAAATTGGAACACAATACAGTATAAAACAATAAAATAGCCTTTTGTAATTTGGAGCGAGCATTTGCATGTCAGATCTTTAATATTAATACATCCCTGTACAGGATCATGTTCAAGCATTCAGCAAGGTTCCTTATGATAGACTAGTTAGTAAAGTTAAATCATATAGGATCCAGGGGGAGCTAGCCAGTTGGATTAAAAATTGACTTGAAGGTAGGAGACAGAGGATGGTGGTAGAGGGTTGGTTTTCGGACATGGGCCACAGGGATGGGTGTAGGGTCCACTGCTTTTTATCATTTATAGAAAGATTTGGATGTGGATTTAGGAGGCATAGTTAGTAATTTTGCAGATGATGGCAAAATAGGTGGTGTAGTGGACAGTGAAAAAGTTTCTCAGTGTACAGTGGGACCTTGATTGGATGGGGCCATGGGCCGAGGAGCAGCAGATGCAGTTTAATTTAGATCAATGTGAGGTGTTACATTTTGGTAAGGCAAACCCGGGCAAGACTTATAAGGTGATGGTAGGTTGCTGAACAAAGACACCTAGGGGTGCAGGTGCATTATTCCTTGAAAAGTGGAGTTGCAGGTAGACAGGGTGATGAAGGCAGCATTTGGCATGCTTGCCTTTATTGGTCAGTACATTGAGTACAGGAATTGGGAGGTCATGTTGTGGTTGTACAAGACGTTGGTGAGGTCATTTTTAGAATACTGTGTTCAATTCTGGTTGCCTTTGATGGATGTTGTTAAACTTGAGAGGGTGAAGGAAAGATGTTGGTGGGACTGGAGAATATGAGCTATAGGGA